AAATGAAAGTACAACCGCGTGCACGCAACTCACCTGCACATCATTTCGTGTGGTGATATATTCTGCCAGATGTCCACCTTTATCTTGATCTATGGCTATCAGGTATTTGTTGCTGAACAGAGATGCACTAACTTTGTCCCACTTCACCATGTCAGTTGTGATTAGCAGTGGGGCAGCGAACATGCACCACATACCCATGTGAACACGCTTTTGATCATCTGAGAGACCAGAATGTCCTAATATCATCATGTCTGGATCGTTCCATGTTCCTGGACCAGCCGTTTTCACTAATATATCGTTCCGCAGTATATACTGATTTATAATCCTTGACACAGATGACCAACTATTTTCGATGTTGATCGGATCTCGTATTAGATTGCAGGTGTTTTTCAAACGTTTCCAGTCAATCAGATGTGGTTTATTGAACCATTGATCATACGAAATATAATTACAGAGAATCACCATCGGTCTGCCAGTTTTGTTCAGATTTTTCACGAACTTTTCAAAAACGTCAAGTAGAGAATGCGGAGGAGTGTTACAAGAATTGATCTTCACATAATCCACTTCCCATTCAGCAAGAGTCTTAGCGTCCAATTCCAGAAAATGTGCACTTCCCGGAAAACCTTTGCACGTGGTAGTCCCAGAACCAATATTTATTCCGAACAGCAAGCCTTTTGAGTGTATGTATTTTCCGAGTGCTTTCATACCCTAAAAAGTAGATTCAGCTCTGAAATCAGCAAAGGAAACTGAAAAACAACAGCAGCTTAAATAACCATTTTTGATAGTAGATTACTGACTGTACATTAATATAAACTTTTCAGAGAACAGGAGAACATTTTACAAGTTCAGAAAAACTTAATTCGTGTAAACTTACTTGATGAAATCTGAATTTATCACCTATAAGCTTGTTTGTCCAAATGTCTCGTGTAATATCCTGCCAGCACTCATCAAGTATCACATATTTGTAACCTAAATCTCTCCAACCTTCCGATACAAGTTTATCGGCTATCCATTTGATAGTTTCATGCTTGACGCAACCGTATGGATTACGTAAGCAACCACCTCCACATCCGAAAGATTGCAATGAGTTCCAGCCCATCGGTGGTGTTCTCGCCAAACCATTGTCCAAACACAGCACACAACTGAGAGTAAGAACGATCACCACCAAAATTATTGTCCACAATGTCAATCTGTAAACTGAGTGGTAGATTTGTAATCGAGTAATGTGAATGTCGAACAAGTGTAGTGTAATTCAAATAAAGTTAGTCAGTACGTAGTTTGTAAGCGTGTATGACAAGTGAACAAATTAACTGATAGTGGTACAACTGATTTGATATCACATTCCGTGTTGTGGAAGACTTCGATGGAGTTTACTTGAGAATACTTCACCATTCCGATTTTAGAAGGCAATAGTTAATCACACACAATCAAATAGTTTGTAATCTTGAGGTATATAAGACTGATGACGAGAAATTACCAGAGTTTGGTGATGAGAATGGTCTAACCTTCAATTCGCATCTACTTCAAATTTCTCAGACAGCAGACCAACACGAGTAATTTCACAAACATATATGATCATGGTTATGAAATCACAATTTATGCATCTATGAACTGAGTGGTAGACGTGTTACTGTGTATTGTGAATGTCGATCAAGTGTAGTCTATTTGATATAAGGTAGCTAGTACTGTAATTCGTAGTCGTGTGTGTGAGACAAGCGATCAAAGTTTCTTTCAGCTGACATATTGGACGAATTTTAGTCGATTGGAATAAAAACAAACCGCACAAGAAGAATTATCACGTCTCGTGGTTAAAGGCGATTTCCCTCTGAAGTCACTAGGTCTATTGCTCTTATGACAAACTCAGAAACCATTCTTTTAAGTAGATGGAGTGTTTGTACATAGTGTGCGACTGGTAGACTAATTCAAGTAATCGCTGTTATGCTTCACATAAGCTAGGAGTTGCACTGATGCTGTCTAAACAAACACAAAAATCACTGACAGGATGGACTCAGGATTAATCAAGCATCCTTCAAAACAAATAACGAGGACATTACAATGAATGTCATCAGATGCCATGCACCTAGAAACGACTACAATGACGACGAGAAGGATCAATTCTATTGAAGGCTGCAGTCAATCGTCGACAGATGATTACCAAAGCATTTGACTATCGTGATTGGAGACCTAAATGCGAAGGTTGTAAATTAAAACAGTAAATATGAAGATATCATGGGACGACATGGACTGGGAGAAAGTGACGAAACGGTGAGAGACTTGCTGTCAACAAACTGGTCATCGTTAGCACTCAAACTCATACACAGATACACATGGATTTCACACTGCTCGAAACCAAATCGACCATGAAGCCTGAGAGAACAAAGGAAGCTGAAATAGCCTCATAGCACCACTTGCGGCTCGGGAAAATGAAACTGAAACTAAAGGAGCACTGGACAACGGTGCCAACCACATCACAGTAATTCGATATGGAATTTTTTCGCGATACCGTAAAACTTAACGAATTCAACATATCACTCTTAAATAATTTGCAGGCCTTGCTGTATCTGATCAATGAAGTTGAAACAACTTTAGTGAACAATTGGATACGGATCAAAGATGCAAGCACTTCAACATGTGTGGAGGTTTCGGGTCACATGAAACGCTATCACTAGGAGTGGATCCCTGTTGGTGCTCTTGAAAATATTGAAGAAAGGGGGAACACTAGGACAGCAATCAATTTCAGCCAAACCAGAATAGAGACAATCAAGGCATAAGCTAAATACACAGGAAGAAACAGAGAAGTGAAGAAGAGTATCAGAGCCGACAAACGGAAATATGTGAAGTATCAAGCAACGAAGTCGGAAAAGGATGCAGGAGAATGAAACACGAGATTGTTTTAAGATACAACAAATATGCGCGCAGGAAACCACTGATCGATCGCGTATCGATCTAATTGCAACATTAGTGATTATTGTGGAGCAATCAATTGAATGAGATGCATCACACTCTACATCACCTTCTTCGAATACGACAAAGCATTTGGTAGCGTGGGCATGAAAACACTATGGAGGCTTCAACGAGACTATGATGTGCCTGAGATGGTCGTCAACATCATACGGAATTCTTATGATGGATTCAACTATAAAATCGTGCACAGTGTTCAGACCCATTTGAGGTAAAGATGGGTAACAATCAAGGTTGCTGACTCTCATGGTTTCTTTTTCACTTAATGATCGAATGGATTATGAAGACGTCAACATCTGGAGTGAAGCACGATATCCAATGGACAGCTAGGAAGCAGCTGGACGATCTGAGCTTTGCAGATGATCTGGCTCCTCCATCGCACACGTGACAACGGATGCAACAGCAGACAACCAGCGTAGCAGCTGCTTCAGCCGCGGTAGATCTCAACATGCATAAACGGAAAAGCAGGAATAAGCGAAACAAGTATTTATGAATATTTCTCTAAGCAGACTATTTCGGATTTGTGTGTTAGACACTATCAGCAACAACTTACTGTAGAAGAGAACAAACCAGATTCCAGTGGAGGAGGAAATCAGGAATGAGCGGTGGAAGTTGATAGGACACACTGCAAAAAATGCCGAACTGTATAACAAGACAAACCCTGACATGGAACTACCAAAGCGAAAGTAAGAGTGGAAGGCCAAAGAACGCATTACGTCGAAAAATCGAAAAAGACATGGGATAATTGAAGAGGAACTTGGAAGAACTGAAAAACGATTCCAAGGACAGAGTTGGTTGGAGTAAACTGGTCTGTGGCCTATGCTCCATTGAGAGTAACAGGCGTAAGTAAGTTAGTAGGTGATGCAATATGCTCGTCGTATGCTCCATAGTGAAGCAACAGGAGTGAGTTAGTAAGGAAGTAACTATTGTCATAGTTATTCACCCAGACAACAAACATGGAGTTACCTACAGACAAACAACGTCTTTCATGGATACGCATTCAGATATTATTTACAGTGATGGAAGAACTTTGAAATTACATGCGATCACAATTCACAAGTCTACTTCATTAAAGAAACACTCATGAACACTTACGTTTCATTTGACTTGCTTGGTTGATCTGAATAGGAACTTGCTGTTATTTATACTCTAGCGAAAAAGAACACAGTGTAATGAGGAGTAAGGAAGACTGAGACCAGAAAATTAAACCGATCGGTAACCAATCGTGTACCGATTTTTCAGATGAAGGGGGTGGTTGAATGTCACATGATCAATAAATCCTCTGACGACCTCGTAAACTCCTGTTCTTCGGTGATTGTAAACCAATGACATAAGAATTCTGCTATATACTGATCGATTTTTCATTCTTTCATTACCTCATAAGGACATGAACAGATTTCGATGAGTGGTCATGATGTCAATCAAGATATTCACGTGTGAGTGATTAGTGGATTAGGTATATTATCTTGCGTGTTGTGCATTACGAATTCAAGATGGACATTGTCGGTTTTGGTCAAAGCCTATGATAATAGAGGTGATGCGGTTGACATTCTGTAGTATATTTATTGTGAAACCGAGATGGTGAAAGGAAATTATGTGTGTATAATCGGTTTCTAAATGCTGTTAATGTAAAGACTGTTGTTCACCAAAACACTGATGTGAGCAGAAAAATTGTGTGTTTTGCTTATAGGTAATAACAGTTTCAAAACTTATTTCAACCGATTGCACATAATAATTGTCACTTCGCTCAAACAAATCAACGAAGAACCAAACACACGAAGAGAGAGCCAAAATTATTCTATAGAATGAGGGGGAAGCGAATTTCAAAATCCTGAAAGCATGTGCTCTTTCAGTTCGGATCCATGCACTTGTGTCAAATGAATGATAGTCTAGTCGCTCGACTGTAATAACTCTGATCACTTGACAGGTACTTATGATTTCGTTTTTCAAGTGATGTTGGTTTGTACGCTTTCCTCATCGCTGTTGAGTTTTGAAAATCAGAATATATCACATCATCAAATAGAATAAGAGTTGGTGGCAGAGTGAAAAATAATGCAGAGATTTCAGAGGTTAACGAAAACATAAACAAGATAATAAGTTGATAGTGAAGTTTGTGCGAGAAGAAGGAATTGCAAGAGTGAGGGGTAGCCAATACAAACGTATTGATTTCATTTTAGCTCGCGTATTTATCTGTTGTCACGGCCCTAGGTCATTGATAATGTTTGATTAATGGCAATCCAGCTACTCAACTTTACTAGTACTGGTTAGTTGCAGAATAAATTGTCGACTTAACGAGTATAGAATGACCATCTTATATTGCAGTCGACTTGGTGAGGCTTCCTCTATTCCTGAAAATACAGAAATCCGTCGTGACAACTGAACCACCTGGAAAGCGATATTGCCATGATAGTGGGATTAGCTATGCTTTGTATTTCTCAGAGATTTGGCTTGAAACAGTAGTATTGTCTCGGTACTGCAGTATCACAGTGTCAGTGAACGCATGCACTGCAGAAGTGCAAAGTTGCTGGTATCGATTGATATATCGAGGACAATTTGTGAGCTACCTCGTTTGTTCACACTAATCTTATTAGGAATAGGAATCTGGGAGGACGTGTGATTACTGCTTGCTAGTTTGTGTATTCTGCCATATGTTTGTCAGTAGTCAAAACTAAATCAATTAAAGATTTGCATGTTGATTGAAGATAAATATGTGTGTCCAGTCATTAGTATTCACTAAGTTTGCTCACATCAGGTGTGCAAAGCATACCTCAATGATGACTTGTCTTATAAATATTCTTGGTCAAGTATGAACAGCCGAATCTGAAAAACATGGAAATATATATATATATATATATATATATATATATATATATATATTTAATGAAGCATGAAAATACATATTTCATTTGAATTGATAGGATGAATGATCTATTTTGTTGCTCTTAGTTATACCCGAATAATCATAAGATCGGTGTAAGAAAAGGTTGTAAAGGAAATAAATCCACTGAAGACACACTAAAGACACACAAACGTGTCCAAACTCATATCAGCAATATACTTACTGATACTTCGTGAGGACAGACGCGATTAAATGTATTTTCGCACACTGCAACCTTTTGTTCAATCGTTCAATGAAAAAGGACAATTTGTAAAGTGTCATTTATTTCGTATTCAGTATAAGATTTGGTAATAGTGCTATGTGATAGTTGTATTGATCAAAGTGAATTTTATTCGAAAGATATTTATGGATGATTCTGACTTGTGTGTTTCATGCTATCAACCTATAACCGTATAACGGAAAATTTGTAAGCAGATCGTACACTTTTGTCTACTTGCACTACTCGACTTATAAATTTCAACTTCTTTACAGCTAGTGAGTACAAATAACTGGCATCTGAAAAACTAGGAGCAATAAGCTTATTCTCTTTTCAGAATGTCCTACATCCTTATATTGACCAGAAGACAGACTGACTTTAGTTATATCAAATATTCATTACATGCAAACATGCAGTTCACGAATCCGCATTACTTACGACTTTTTGATGACATCCATCGTGTTTGTGCTGTGACTGCATCCACGTGATACAGGACAACATCCTAGAATGTCGATTCGTATCATTATATAAAGTGAACGAGTATGCACGGAATAACAAACGTCAATATCATGAACTGTGACTAGGTATTCCAAACCTAAACAAATTGGATATACCTTTACAAGGAAGGTAAGGATTCACACGCATACTCGAATAGAATACTGAGAGTTTGTGTTCAGGTGGTAGTTTACATCTGCACTCACAAAGTCTCATTTCTGACAATGTGAATACCAAGGAATGCAAATGTGAATAGTCGTATACTTCCTGTGTACATTCAATGCATAATTTTACTAAAAGATATGTGTTCCTATTTGCATATAACTAGATATGTGGTGTGGAAGCACCCAACTGCGTAACAAGATAAGCGCTTAATTGCAACACTCTTGGACAAAGGGAAGGGTAGAGGCAAAGAAACAAACTAGACCGACAAATAGTGTAAGACATGATAAGAATGAACAATAAGTGAACAGAACTGGAAAGCGAAGCTCAGGATCATGTTGATCGGAGAATACTTGTTAGAGGCTTTTGATCGTTAAAGGGTAAGAGACGTGAGGAGGTGAAGAAGTAAGATAATTCGGATGAAAACGCATGTGTTTCTGATGGTCATGAACCATACAATGTATAGTTGATCGATGCTTGATCGCCAAGATCTGCGGCGATACAATGTCTGTTTCCGGCCTAATCACATTTGTTTTTCATGTGTCATTGCTATCATGCAATCTCGTCTGATGAATCTGAGCATTGGTCAGCAACCAGGATTCTTACGTCAAGGATAATTCCACCAGCGAAGGCTGTTGAATCAATCTATGCGCAAAGTTGACCTATCCACATTGATGACCCTATCCTACTGTCTAACGCAGACCTAATCGGGAATTTGCTTTCACCATAGAAGATTGTTGCTGTCGATATCTGACCACCGTACAGAACTGTTAACATGCACATTTGTATTTCGAATGATGAATTTCGTAATTTCACAACTATAAGCTACATCCAATGAGACAGACTGGAGTGCTTATGTGAGAATTGTGACCTTGATGTGGGTTATCACATTTATCCCTTTACTACTGATCACCAAATTGTGAAAATGTTGAACTTATTCCCCATTTCCTCACTTGGATATCTGCATCAGATGTTGCTTGATACTCAGTGATACCGCTCAGGTATGCCGAGGTTTCCATATATTTCAAGTCTTCGCCATCGAAATTGATTTGATTGGTGCAATTGATTGTGTTTCTTAGCTTTGCGCACTGTGTGACCTACTGCCAGACAGAATGCCTCTGCACTGACCGTCTGAACGTGCCGTGTTTCTGTGGGTCTGATGAGATTCCTATGTTTGCAGTGAAGTCAAAATGAACTTCTTGTCTTCGAGACATACACTGTATTTCGTGCATCGAATAAAATGGTGCTGTGGTCCACTGTCAGATTTCGAGCGGTCGGCACACGAGCGATATAAGACAGTCAAAAATTAACGACTATTCAAAGTTATCAGGGAATGTGGAGAAAAAATATTTGAGAACTATTTTTTTCATCAGTCGAGCGAATTCGTACGCAACAACATAATGTCAGTCATCATTATCATTCGGCTGTAGATTGAAGATCAGTTTTGTGCTGCCTACGAATACATACAACGACGTAAGCTGTTCAGTATAAGGCGAAGATTCGAAGCAAAGAGAACCACTTCTTTATTTTGTGGTTAGGTTTGACTGTCAGACAATTTTCAAGTTACGAAAATGTAACTTCGGTGGAAATGCGAATGGAACAGTGTGAATTTTTGTCAATATAACTAAGATCTTGTAGATGAATAACATGTAACTGTAAAAGTATCAGACATTATCAAACATGACATCATTTGATTCTATTAGGACGGTGAAGTATGAAGACTAAACTATTTCGTGAAACCACACAAATCGCAAGCTAGCAATATTTCAGTTGCCTCCGATTCTACTGTCACTGATAAATGCGATCGACGATGTGATACGCAGGCGGTTCGGCAAACTACGAGAAATTCAACTACATATAGCAGTGAACAACGACGCAACGAACGAGTTACCGTAGAAAGTCCTCAGCGGTGGAGGTTTGTTGTGAGTGAGTTTGAGCACAATTATCACTTTTTTGTTAGGCAATTGAAAATATCAACAGCTGTTTTATCATAGTAAAACATAAGTTGAAACGAAATTCTATCTACTCCTAATTTTACTCTAGTATGAATGGTTTGTACAGAATTATCATGACTGCAGTTGAATTGATGAGAGTGGTGAAATCCTCTAGCAGAAGCACGTCTCCGAGTCAGCTCGAAAGATTACTATTTCACAGTTGTAAGTAAATTCCTAATCGGATCTATTTACTGGAGGAAAAACCACCAATCAGCTGCCATATGAATAACAGATCGCCTTGCGTGTGAAGGCGAAAAATTCGGACAATACACTCGATCAGATGGAATACGCATTTCAGCGATTGGCGTAACGATGCAAATAATTCGGACTATACAGTCGATAAACCCTGATTCGCACGTGTACTCAGTGTAATATTATCGTCTTATGTTTGCGAATGTGTAACTAATTGAACATAATATTCATTAAATTGAAAATGCGCCCCATTTTGCTGAACATTTTATCATCGCTCAGTTGAGTTTCATATCAGTTAAACGGTAGTTTTGCAAAAGCCTAGAAATCCGAACATACTTGACACTAAATTATGCCTTACCGTACACGTGTGTAGGTTAACAACGTTCCACAATGTTAACTCTTGATAGATGAACGAGCGACATATACAAGTAATTCATTGTCTGTACTTCAAATTCATCAAGAAAAACAACGACAAGGCATTTGATAATTATTTACTTCAAGAACTGAGAAAACATGGAAAACAACAACTGTTATTTCGGTGAAAATTACGTAATGAAACACGGATCGTTCTATACATAACTGTACTCAATTGTGTATGGTTTGACACGAATCATACTGATTCCAGTTGGATTGATGGAAATCTCGAACTTCTCTGTCAGTGCTACATCTCTGATTGTTGTGCCAGTGAATACATCCATCAATTCGAACTTTTCTCCAGATATCGTATAGGTGGATGATTTGAATTCATCAAGACTTGTACGGAAATTGGTCGATCGTCCACCAATCTTCGTGTAGACACAAGCGATTGCCCAGCCGACTGGACATTCATCTAATTTCCGAATCCACATCTACATGAGAAGAAATAGGTGAACTGATGAAAATGTGGTTGCTGAGACTAACTACAGAAGTTTGTGATGAGCATGATGTAGAAATGAGTATTTGGAAGAATGTGTAGCACAAATGAATGGTTAATGCTGAGTTGTATGGTATCTGCCTGATGTGCCAGCCTGATTTCCATGAACGATTGTCTACGCTATTTGGAGTCAACTGACCAGTAGCTTTACAGCAATTTCAAGAATGTTGCCTAATGGAAGGGGGTTTTGACTAGTTTTAACTATATTTTATCAACATCTGTCTGTCTAGATTTATGTTGTGGAAGGTATTCAAAGAGATTTATTAAGTTATGAATATGAACGACAGCTTCTCTTCATTTGATTTTCCACACTAGAAAGTCAAAAATTTTATCGTTGTGAAAATGAAAGTGCAATTGCGTGCACACAACTCACCTGCACATCATTTCGTGTGGTGATATATTCTGCCAGATGTCCACCTTTATCTTGATCTATGGCTATCAGGTATTTGTTGCTGAACAGAGATGCACTAACTTTATCCCAATTTTCCAAGTCAGTTGTGATTAACAGTGGAGCAGCGAACATACACCACATACCCATGTGAACACGCTTTTGATCATCTGAGAGACCAGAATGTCCTAATATCATCATGTCTGGATCGTTCCATGTTCCTGGACCAGCCGTTTTCACTAACACATCATTGCGCACTATGTACTGATTTATAATACTCGACACAGATGACCAACTGTTTCCGATGTTGAGCGGACTTCGGATTAGATTGCAGGTGTCCTTCAAACGTTTCCAGTCAATCAGATGCGGTTTATTAAACCATTGATCATACGAAATACAATTACAGAGAATCACCATCGGTCTGCCAGTTTTGTTCAGATTTTTCACGAACTTTTCAAAAACGTCAAGTAGAGAATGCGGAGGAGTGTTACAAGAATTGATCTTCACATAATCCACTTCCCATTCAGCAAGAGTCTTAGCGTCCAAATCCAAAAACTGTGCACTTCCTGGGAAGCCTTTGCACGTGATTGTCCCAGAACCAATAGTTATTCCGAACAGCAAGCCTTTTGAGTGTATGTATTTTCCGAGTGCTTTCATACCCTACAAAGTAGATTCATCTATGAAATCAGCAAAGAAATCTGAAAAACAACAGCAGAATAAATAACTATTTTTGATATTAGATAATGGATTCTTCATTGATATAAATTTATACATTAAAGAAGTTGGGAAAAAATCATTTTGTAACAACTCACATCACGAAATCTATTACGATCACCCATAAGCTTGTTTGTCCGGAATTCTCGTATACTATCCGGCCAGCACTCATCAAGTATTACATATTTGTAACCCAAATCTCTCCAACCTTGCGATACAAGTTTATCGGCTATCCATTTGATAGTTTCTTGCCTGACGCAACTGTATGGTTTGAAAATGCAATTCCCTCCACATCCGAAAGATTGCAATGAGTTCCAGCCCATCGGTGGTGTTCTCGCCAAACCATTGTCCAAACACAGAACACAACTGAGAGTAAGAACGATCACCACCAAAATTATTGTCCACAATGTCAATCTGTAAACTGAGTGGTAGATATGTTCTTGAGTAATGTGATTGTCGAACAAGTGTAGTGTAATTCAAATAAAGCTGGCCAGTACAGTAATTTGTAGGCGTGTGTGACAAGTGAACAAATTAACTACTAGTGGTACAACTGATTTGATATCACATTCCGTTTTGTGGAAGACTTCGATGGAGTTTACTTGAGCAAACTTCACCATTCCGATTTTAGAAGGCAATAGTTAATCACACACAATCAAATAGTTTGTAATCTTGAGTTACATAAGACTGATGACGAGAAATTACCATAGTTGCGTGATGAGAATGGTCTAGCCTTCAATTCGCGGCCACTTGAATTTTCTCAGATAGCAGAAAATTATTCCGTCAAAGATCACATATGTGAAATACTATTCATTCTATGAAATATGTTTATGTTGCTGAAGATCTCAAATGGTTTTCTAGACACATAGTTTACTGTCACATAAAAGTGTGCATTTTTGTAATCTTGATGATTTGGTCCGAAAACTTTCGAAATGTCTTACAGAGCAAGCTGACTGGCAGCAACTTTCAAACTACCTTATTTTCGAGCTCAGAAAATAAAATTTTAGGGAAACCTTTCATCGTTGTGAAATCACAATTCATGTATCTATGAACTGAGTGGTAGACGAGTTATTGAGTATTGTGAATGTCAACCAAGTGTAGTGTATTTGACACAGGTTAGCTAGTACTGTATTTCGTAGTTGTGTGTGCGACAAGTGATCGAATAATAACACAACGGAAAACCTTTGATTGATTGGAAGGAAAACAGACAATTGATCAAGATTCTGCTTGCTTATTGTTTACCACTCAATCCCTCGAAGAAACTGACTTGTTAAAAAACGCTTACCAAGAAAATAAATGGAATGATTTTAAATCTGCCTTGTGAGTCGGAAGTAGAATTATTACGTTTCGTGATTAAAGGCGAGTTTCCTCGAATTTCACTAGGCCGAGATCAATTCTATGAAAGGCTGCAGTCAATCGTCGACAGATGCTCACCAAAGGATTAGCCCAATCTGATGGGAGACCTAAATGCCAAAGTCGGCATGGACAACACTCTAAACGAACACATCATGGGACGACATGGAATAGGAGAGATTTGCTTACCTATTTGCTGTCAACAAACCGGTCGTCGGCAGCACAATGTTCTCACACAAGCGCATACACAGAACCACATGGATATCATCGGATCACACTACTCACAACCAAATCGACCATGAAGCTTGTTAGAACCAAGCAGGCTGACATATCTTTAGAGCACCACTTGCTGATCGGCAAAATGAAACTGAAACTAAAGGAGCACTGGACGACGGTGCCGACCACATCACAGTAGTTCGATATGGAATTTCTTCGGGATACCCTAGAACTCAACGAATTCAACATATCACTCCTAAATAATTTGCAAGCCTTGCTGTATCTGATCAATGAAGTGGAAACAACTTTAGTGAACAATTGGATACGAATCAAAGATGCAAGCACTTCAACATGTGTGGAGGTTTCGGGTCACATGAAACGCTATCACTAGGAGTGGATCCCTGTTGGTGCTCTTGAAAATATTGAAGAAAGGGGGAACACTAGGACAGCAATCAATTTCAGCCAAACCAGAATAGAGACAATCAAGGCATAAGCTAAATACACAGGAGAAAACAGAGAAGTGAAGAAAACTATCAGAGCCGAAAAACGGAAATATGTGGAGTATCAAGCAACGAAGTCGGAAAAGGATGCAGGAGAAAGAAACACGAGATTGTTTTAAGATACAACAAACATATCCGCTGTAAGCTATCGCAAACCAGAACGATCAGTGGAAAGCAACACTTGAAAACACTTGAAAAGTGACACTTGAATCGACCAGCTCCAATAAACCCATCCTACATCGAAGCAGTATTTACGGACCTCCAAATCGATGGAAATGAACCTACAATTGAAGAGTTCAGACTCGAAAGAAGGATACGTCATTAAAATACCGAAGAAAGGCGATCTATCCACTCTCAGTACCAAGGTACGTCTTCAACAGAGTATTGTGAGACAGAATGCAGGACTTCGTATATACTCAACTTCGAGATCAACAGGCTGGAAGTGGCAAGGACCAGTTGTTTATCGATCGAATTGCTACATCAGAGATCATTGTGGAGCAATCAACTGAATGGGACGCACCACACTCTGCATCAACTTCATCGACCATGAGAAAGCATTTGATAGCGTGGACAGGAAAACACAATGGAGGCTTCAACGACACTATGATGTGCCTGAGATGATCGTCAACATCATACGGAATTGTTATGATGGATTCAACTATAAAATCGTGCACGGAGGTCAGACTCGTTTGAGGTAAAGATCGATGTCAAGCAAGGTTACCTTCTCTCGATCTTTCTCCTGATGATCGAATGGATTATGATGATGATATAGATGATCTGGCTCCTCCGTTGCACACGCGACAACAAATGCAACAGAAGACAACGAGCGCAGCAGCTGCCTCAGCAGCTGTAGGTCTCAACATACATAAATTGAAAAGCAAGAATATGCAATTGAACACAATATGCATCAATACCTTAACATAACTTGGCAAGATCATCCACAACCAAGATTGATCCGACGCAGATGTGATGGCGCGGATCAGCGAAGCAAGTGCTGCATTTCTACAATTGAAAAATATCTGGAACGCGAAACAAAGGTCTACAAACACCGAAATCAGAACTTTCAATTCAAATGTCAAGACAGTTCTGCTGTATGGAGCCGCAACTTGATAGACTACCAAAGCCATCATCCATAAGATACAAGAACTTATGAATAGTTCTCTAAGCAGACTAGTTCGGATTTGTGTGTTAGACACTATCAGCAACAACTTACTGTAGAAGAGAACAAACCAGATTCCATTTGAGGAGGAAATCAGGAATGAGCGGTGGAAGTTGATAGGACACACTGCGAACAATGCCGAACTGTATAACAAGACAAACCCTGACATGGAACTACCAAAGTGAAAGTAAGAGTGGAAGGCCAAAGAACGCATTACGTCGAAAAATTGAAAAAGACATGGGATAATTGAAGAGGAACTTGGAAGAACTAGAAAGGGATTCCGAGGACAGAGTTGGTTGGAGTAAACTGATCTGTGGCCTATGCTCCATTGAGAGTAACAGGCGTAAGTAAGTTAGTAGGTGATGCAATATGCTCGTCGTATGCTCCATAGTGAAGCAACAGGAGTGAGTTAGTAAGGAAGTAACTATTGTCATAGTTATTCGCCTGGACAACAAACATGGAGTTACCTACAGACAAACAACGTCTTTCATGGATACGCATTCAGATATTATTAACAGTGATGGAAGAACTTTGAAATTAAATGCGATCACAATTCACAAGTCTACTTCATTAAAGAAACACTCATGAACACTTACGTTTCATTTGACAGCATATCTACAGTTCAGAAGCAAACATAAAAACTTCAATATAAGTACAAAATATAGAAATAATAACAATATACAATGATAAAATCTCAAAATGGAATGAAATGGAGTACCAAAATGTGAACAGAAAGAGTCAGTCATATCATAACACAAATATATAAACATGGAGGGATTTTCCAGAAAAAACAAAACTTTCAAAAATGATTCTAAACTGGCCCTCAAAATCCAACCATACAAATGCAAGCGTTTAATGACACTTCAATTTAGGTTTCACTCTCATGGCCTAATCCACACCGGAAGAACGAGTAGGATTTACAGCAGTACACTTACCCGTCCTCCAATATGGATATGACCTGTCATGCTAACTAGGTTCCTGTACCTTCCTATCAGTCCCTTGATCTTCCTATCTATCGCAGCATGACCTGACGGTAGTATAAACCTTATCAAATTAACCCACATGAATATCTACAACCCGTCTTATAGCTGGTCATATCCCATCCGGGATCTACATTCCATATCATGTGGATGAGTCGTCAATCCACCACCACTTGCTCCGATCGGCAGATACAATGAAGTCCATGATGCTGACTTATCAACAGAAGTTCTTGACCCATAGATAATATGCAAGGGTGGGATCTCCAATTTTGACATTTCCTC